CGTAATAACCTTATAACATCAGCACAGTAGCCTATATTATTTCCTGGGCACAAACACTGGTCAAATGACTATGTAAGTTTGCAATTTATCATCTGCCATATTCTGTTCAAATGGAATAAAAGTATGGAAACATTACTAATTTGTAGAGAGCCACTTCAAATTTGCATATTTACGTAAATGAATGACGTAGTCATAATAATCACTTGATATTCCGGCGTACGATTCCTATGCTTCTTGAAAAACTTCGTGTAGTATATCAGATGAAAGGAAATTTAATGGGAAATTTTGATCTTCAATAATAATACAAATATATATCGATTTATTGATTGATATCGTATCGGTGTACATAAAGTCACCATAACGATCAATGAAATGGGAGATACTGAATTTAAATACCAGTTTCAATGTGTATGTTCGTTGTACTTACACAGAGATTTATTCTCATAAGCCCACTTAAGAGCTGGTCTTACAGGTCTATAATTGGACTTTTTTATCTGAGTAACAAATGTACATGACAAGCTATGACCATGTCAACATTTCGTAGGTAGTTACGCGTTGTTATGGTTATGACTACGCATTATATGACTCGTAGTTTCCCATTTGAAAATATATCGAACTGTTTTATAGCTCACCCAGACACATGTTAAGGTATTCCGACAACACCGCTACACCGGTTACATAGCAACATTAAAGTTGTGTTAAGTCCACCCTGACAACGCCTTGTTATTGCATATAAATATACTGATCCTAGCTCACCAAACACTACATAATAATGTACGTCATAAACCACAAAATACCGTTATAGTGATATGAAATGACCGTAGCCAATCCATTTTGTAGCTGGAAGTAATCATTCTTTCGCTCATCACGATTTATCGCATCACAAGAAATGTTTAATGAAAAATAATACAGTAAAGTTTATTCTAATCTCACAACGTCGTGTAAGAGCGTCCTCTATCGACGGTCGAACAAATTTACATAGCACACCAGTTGGTCCCACATTTGGTTAAAGGGTGGTTCATTATTTCGAGATATCGACCGAAGAAATCAGAAATTAAAATATGCAGAACATCTGTGTACAACTTGTAAAGCCGTTTCCGCTACTGTCCGATTTCCGAGTTACGTCACAATATGACGTCCGAGCCAAAAGCATACGATTATTTCTCCTGTGATTCGGTGGAAATGTATAACACATTGAAATAGCTACATGCTATTTTAGTGAATTTGACTCTATGCATGAATTAACTGAATCTTAATTTAAGTAAAGTGTCAACAATCTCATTGTGAGAATATACTTTATTTTAAATTAGCTGCATCTTGAATTGGCGAAATTACAGATTAGCTAAATTAGCTAAAATAACATGCTAGCTAAAAAGACATGTTTTAAATTTCGCGCATCTCACTAAAGGTGATAAGTGTCCAATACTTTTGACCATATTAAAATTTCGGCCGGTTGATAACGAGAAAAAATATACGAAGAAAACTAACCCATAGAGAAAAAGACGGAAACAAATATATTTATAGCGAAAAAAATTGATTCAGCATTCTACTAACACCTTACCGTATCTGTCTTTAATCTGCGCCATATTTCAAAATATAGTTGCTTATCTGTGTTATAGCGAAGAAAAATAATAAAAGAATGAAAAAACAAATTAGCAGTATCATCCTGATAAATTTAACTCAAACAGTTCAACACTAAGTGAAGAAAAGCAATAAGTTTTTCTACCATATCTCAACCCTTAGTTGTTGTGATCAACCCCTAATCCCGGATTTATACCTTGTGTTGGAATGTCATTACATTCGCAATAAAATATTATAGCATGCTCGTGTAAACGCATGTCACATCGTTTATTGTTCAAAAATGCGAACACACGGCGTACATTTCCGTGATAAATAAGACGGGACCATACACGTTGATGCGTAACCGGAAATCCCCTTTACACACCTAGGTGTGGAGGTGGGCGATATTTTTAGATTAAAGTTGACCCCAGAAGTCAGTGCGCGAATCGAAACTATACTATATAGCATAGAGACTGTGCGTATGTCCTGTATGAACATTTAAAGAACTGGAATAAAAAAAATATAAAAAAAGGAATTTAGTTTTATAAAGATATAAAAGTACAACATTCATTGTCCATATTGTTCCAAAAATGGAAACGACGTCATTAGAGTACAATTACCAGTTTTATGATATGGGGCGATACTTCGGGGAAAGGGAACTACATTCCAAATTAAATGACATGAAGGGACCATTGTGCACATTTCCGATAATGTTGGTATTGAAGGAGAGGTGTAAATTACGTCAATAAGAGGTCAGGTCGATTGATAAAATACTTAATAATTATTTTCAGGATTTTTCCTGCCACCTTTGGCGTAAGTGTTCACAGAACCTAGTTTTTTTTTTCAAGGTGAGATTTCCTTCTATTATTTCTTGTACTTTGTTTTAACTTTGATTCCACGAAAACAAGTTAAGTTAGTGACACGTATGGAACATGCGGGGTAGATGTACGTAGGCGCATGTCATTCGCAAGGTACCATGAACGGTTAATGATATAACAACCATACGTGGTTAGAGTAAATGTGCAATTGGATATGAATGTTTTGCCTCCCAATTCAGCTAATTTTCCCCACGACACAGATAAGCAACTATATTTTGAAATATGGCGCAGATTAAAGACAGATAAGGTAAGGTGTTAGTAGAATGCTGAATCAATTCACTGTAACTTCAGTCGACTTAGAAAAAAACAACCCCCATCCATAAAATCCAACATACGATTTTCTTGCCAAGAGACGAATTTGCCGACTGGCTGACGAATAGGTGATTTTCCGAACAATTGCGAGATCTCGCGAGATGCATGAAAGACGCGCGTCGAGCGTCTGCCGCAAAAATCGAACGATTTGATTTTGAACTCGAATTTCTTTATTTCGTAGCTCACACCGACCGGCCGATCTTCGACAGAGGAATATTGCTTCCGAATACCCTTACTTAATTGAAATTGTCTATCATCAAATCTGGACAGCACATTGTTAAGCATGGAAATGCCCCCCAAATACTTTCGCGTTTGTCGAATCCCACGCGATGTTTGACGCCACTACGACGCTATGACCTGTGTTTGTCCTGTTTTTACGTTCGATTTCACGCATAACGCGTGATTCTCGCAGTGTACGGACAATGGTCTATTCGTCAGCCAGTCGGCAAATTCGTCTCTTGTAAAACAAGAACAAGCAATGCGAACTACAACTCGAGAGCAAACACTAAACCATAAACGCAAACGTGACAAAACAAATCAAAATCAGACACAATTGGCAATCACATAACGACACGCGCTATTATGTATAGAACGTTATAATTTCATTCATTTAAAAAAACTTCATCAACCTAATGTGCCCATGTGGTGATAATGTCAGTGGTGTCATACGATATGATATCAGTTATTTCAACCAATGAACACACCCAGATTGCTTCACCGGCGTCAACGTCTACTCTTGTGGACTCCAGGCTATTATTGTTCACAGTAAGATAACCGGGTAGTTAGTGCTAACGTAATTTGTACGGTGCCTGAACAATCTGCTCTGCTCACGTGTGCTACAAGTATTAAGAAATAACTGTCTTAATATGGTTAACTGTCCCTTCTGAATTGAAAGACAAGTTAGTCCGAGAGCGTATAATGGAACTCACGAGAAGCCTGAAAAGTGAGAAATGAGGCATTGCGTCACGATACTGATTAATATGTTATCATTTAATTATTTGTTTTGTTGCGCATATTGGCAAAAATAAAACCGGTTTCAGATCACCAAACACCGTTAAACAAGTGTAGTGGGAAATTGCTCTACGGTTAATTTACAGAGAAGTTGGCATGGCGGGTGCAAAGATTACTGGTTACGATATCAACTATGAGTCACTGTTCTGGAACGACTCCGTGTATTTACCTGCGTTGGCGGTTGAAACCGTGTAACAAACAATAAACAAACTTCCAACAAAGTACCCGATATTGTATGTCGCGTTTACCCCGTATTATGTTATTACAGCCATCTGAGTAGTTTCTTACCCCTGAATTAATAAAATAAGGCGAGACGAGGATTCGATAAAATACAGTTGGGCACGTGATTTATATAAAACAAGTTACGTCATTTACAACGTAGCGAACAGAACAAACATATTTAGACGGGGGAGTTGCGCAGACGATAACTGGCGTTTATAATCAACACAAATAGCGTACAGTACAACAGGTGGTGACACACGTGGGTCTAAAGCGTGCTTCAAGTTGGGTCAAATCTTCGTTTGGTTGTAACTGACTGATACACTTACACAGTCATAACGTCTATTACATTACAGTCGAACTGTTTGCCGCCATACAAAGGTATAATTGGAAGTTCTTTATTCTAGTATCAAACATGTTTCTTCTTCTTCTTCCGCTGACCGGCGTCTTTGTTTAAATATAGCCATGATGCAACAGAGGAAATCCCGATGAGCCTCAGTGATTTTCAATTTGTCGTATCTAGCGCCCTCACTGTAAATTCTATTATTCTGTATTTACAGTTTCTATGGTGACCGTCAAAATTGTCATTACAAATGGCACTGTGAGAGTCTTCTCTTATGCGTATTTTTATTTAGGAATATTTCCATCAAAGATGTCGGACCCTGTTTAAATGTTGTTAAAAAGACCGATTTATCTCTCTCCATCCTAACAATCCTAAATACGATATATAATTAATTCTTAACATAATTGAAATACTATTATTTACTATATTTATAGTCTCATAATGGCACCTGTTAGTTTTTTTCAACTTTTTCGGTTTCCAAAGCCCGGTTTCAAAGTAGTGTACTTGTGACGTTCATAACAAGACAAGTTTCTGTCTAGTCGAACGCCCCGCGAGTTGACGTCATTAAATATGCAGAGTTTCGAGACACCCCAATATTGTAGACATTCGTCTTCTATTTGTTGACCCGTTGCTTAATTTTGACTAAAGGGCACACATTTTCATATTAACGTAAGGTTTGAGTCGTTTTGCGCAACGTATCTGGAATGTCGTCTCCTTCTATGTAAATATTTAGAATACTATATTCTGGAATGCAAGGGGAGCTTGAAACAAATCATCGTATTTCCGCACATGTAAAGGTTCGGCGAACAAGATGGCGGCCTGTCGCAAGGAGTTGGAATTCCCTGTGAAATAATCTACGTTTTTTCTTCTCTCTTACTAAGTTCGCTGCTTGTCTTGGCACAGTGCGAAGCTGGATGTGTGTTCTCCATGCAGGCCAAGAAGCGTTACATTTTGGTGACTTTCAGCGGAGTTTTACTGCTCTTGTTTTATTACGGTGGATTGCATATGCTAAACAGTGTGAATCGGCCAAATGTAGATTCCAAATTATCGAGTCTTCAATCGTTTATGGACACGGATGATGTCCATTATGACCGAGATCTTCACATATCACCAAGACAGAGGAGAGAAGCGAGGACTAACCTCTATAAAAATCGTAAATGTCGGATGGAAACATGTTTTGATTTTTCTTTGTGCAAGAATGACTTCAAAGTTTATGTGTACCCAACGCAAGAAGGGAACAAAGTTAGTGAAGCCTACGACAAGATTTTGAGTGCTATTCGCGAATCGAGGTTTTATACCTCCGACCCGAAGAAAGCATGTTTATTCATACCTTCCATAGACACTCTAGATCGTGATCACCTCAGCCCCGATTACGTAAAAAATGCCCAATCTAAAATTCAATCGCTGCCTCTTTGGAACAATGGCCAAAACCATCTTATTTTCGTTCTTTACTCCGGTACATGGCCAGAATACTCAGACTTGGACCTAGGCTTTGAGCTCGGGCAGGCTATGTTAGCCAAAGCAAGCACGACATCTATTAATTTTAGACCGGGATTCGATATTTCGATACCCTTATTTTCGAAGGATCATGCTCAAAAGGGCGGTAGTCGGGGCGATCTCCAGACGAACAACTTCCCGGTGGCGCGGAAGTACCTTTTAGTGTTTAAAGGAAAGCGCTATTTGTCTGGCATCGGTTGTGAAGCAATAGTTGACCGACAAATGTTGCCAATCAACCAATCAATGCTGCATGGTAATCGCGGTAGAATCCGGAATCTCGAATGGCAGAGATCATGAAGAATGCACTGCGGAAGTATAACGAAGTTGTAGCACGGTCTGTTGGAAACATTTTCAGTTGAAAGCAGTATGATGGTTTTCGAAACAATTTTTAAAAAGTGAGTCAAGTGTTGAAAGAAGAGTTTTAACTTTATTTACACTGATTCAAGATGGCCGATTGCAGATGGATTTTATTCAAACTTGGTACATATATTAGAAATTATGGGTCCCTGAGGCACGTGATTTTGTTTTTCAATTTTCAATTTTTGTTTTCGCAATCAAAATGGTCGATTGGCGGCCATTTTGTTTTAATTAATGTGGTTCTAGAGCCACATATCCAACATGCT